GTATATTTTTAGAATCTGAAAACATGATAGTTTTATATCAGTATATTATGATCTATGAGCTTTCTAATTTAAATCATAATGTTATGTATCTGAACAACCCAAACATCTGTTGTTTTAGTGAGTTTTTGGAACTTTTTAATATTGCGAAAGAAAATTAAAATTAATTCAACTAAATATCTTCAAATAATATCAAATTAAAATTTTAGATTGAAATTGACTAAAGAAATTTACCAGTGCTACATTTAAGCCTGCAAAAAAAAAAAAAAAGCTTTAGTCTCTTTGATTCAATATCTGAGTTAAAAAAAAACAACTGATAATGTATTTCGCCTTTTGAAAATTTAAAATGATAATTACAACTGATTGCCTTTTAAATTGTTAATAATTAAAACTAAAGTTTGCTTTGGTTTTTTTTTATATTTAGTAAGTTTTTACAATTTCTTTACTCTTATTATTTATAAATATATATAACAATTTTTAGAGTAAAAAATAGTTTAAAAATAAATTAATTTGTATTAAAATCAGGGGTATAGGATTCGATGCCCCAGACAGCACAAGATACGCCTAAGAATTAATAAATAGATTAGACAAATAATTAAACTTCTTAGGTACATATAGTAGAAATAATAAATAGAGACTGCACATTTTTACTTGGATGACAATAAATTGAAATACAATGGTATACAGCCTTGAAAAGTGATGATACATTTTATTATTTTAAAAAAGCATACTTTTACCTAGTAAGAAAATTAATGGCTTTGAAAAATTTGGTTATATGTACATAAGTATACCCATGAATATCTTGACTCAATCATTTGACACACGGACAAATTTAAACTATAAAGAGAGAAATATTGTTTCCATGTAGCCTACAGATCATAGGCATGAATAAAGATCAATTTAGATTTTCTTTACAAAAAAAATTAATACATTTTCGATTTTACTTTGCAAAAAATAAAGTGGATATAGCATTTTATAAGATTAATAATATATTTCTTTTAAAAAGAAAGCCAAATCTTTTATGAATATAGAAACATGTTAAGAGATTCTACTTAAGATTAAACTTTTTGTTTTTTGTTTGTTTTACGATTTAACGATAATACATGAAGAAAAACAAGTTTTGTTACATTTTTAATCAAATATATTTAGATTTCGAATGTTTGGTAATGAGAAATTTATTCAAATTTTATCTAGCCTTGATGTAATTTTAAAACTATGTTTTCACATTTTTTTTAGAGAAAAACATAAGATATCCAAAGCATCAGGCTTTGAAAAAAACACTTAAAAGAACTCATTTAGATTTGGTAATTTAACGTCAAGTTTAAAAAAAAAATTGTTCGAGTAAGCCAAAAGGTGTAGATTAGGCGTATGATGAATAGATATTTTTTTTTTCTCTTAATGTTAAGTTTTTATAACTTTTAAATTTGATAAAGAATGAAAAATGAGTTAATGTTTTATAAATTTTTAGAATACAAAGCTAAAAATTCGTGTTTTGTATCTACAATTAAAATAATCAATTTGGTATAATAAATTTATTTTTTTTTTACAAAGAAGAAAAACGTAATCAGTTTTGTGACGAGTGGTTTAACTTGGGAGTTTGGACTTTTAATTTTGTTCTTTGCAATGTATTGGATTTTTAATGTTTTATGTCTACTTTTTAATTACAATCACCTTTGATATTCCTTGAAAACTGTTGGATAACATACATTTAAATTTAATGATTTTTTACTTCAACGCTAAATTTTCTGGAAAAAGTATAACGTTACTTTCCAATTAATGTCAAATAACAAGACTAATTTTTTTTAAATTTACATATAGTATGTATATTTAATTTTAAAAAAATAAATTTTTTAAATAAATTGTTGTTCGTCAGTCAGGAATCGACCATGACCAATGTAATCATCGGAGTTTTTCTTGGTTCTGTCTGTGGGTGCGCAGATGGCTAATGAGGCCGATTCTGGCACGAAATTCTCTTGTGCAGTATATGCAGGGAAATGATGGCGCATCTCCGGGAGCAGAGTCAGACAGGGCCTTCCAGGCATGTCTCTTGCGCTCTGCAGCCGCTGTTCTTCCAACTTCATTTTGCATGGAGCTCCTGTGCAAAGTGGAACGCCATGAAATTCAATCCTTTGCCTGTTCCTCCCACGTGTCTGGGTTTATGTGGGACGCTTTCAGTGAGGCATTTAGGTTGTCTTTAAAGCGGTTTTTTTGTCCCCCAGCAAACCACTTTCTTTGTTTAAGCTCACCATAGAAAATATATTTAATTTGTATATACAGGGTGGGCCAATAAAAGTGAGAACATCTCGCAAAATGTGATTTAATCACATCAATTTTAGTTTAACTATACCCATACTAGCTTAAAGTCGTTAGGAAGCAAGGAAGACACAATGAACATGATTTCTGATTAGCTAAATATTTTGAAAAAAAAAATCCATGAAGAATTATAATTAATTAAATTATATTTTGAAAAAACTCATATGGTACGAGATGTTCTCACTTTTATTGGCCCAGCCTGTAATTTAAATCCATTTATTTCCCTAAAACTGTAGAAAATACCTATCATTATTTCCTTATTTCAGTAATCCAAAGGTATTTAAATTGATTTGTTTTTAGCAATATATGGTAATCATAGCTATTTCTAATGCATATATATATATATATATATATATATATATATA